TAAGCAGGACTCTTGGAGGACCTCTAGATACAAAGAACTTGAGCTAGAAAAGATTGATATCCTAGAGCTGCAAAGGAGCTACACAGCACCGCAGCCTGCTCAGGCGAACTCTACAGTGCAGATTCTCGAAGGCATCCTGCTGTAATGAGTAGAAAAAAGCAAGAAGTGAACATCTATCATCCCCTTCCTCATGGGAGAAGGCTAACAGACCAACGGACAAGTTTTCAACAGATACGGCATCTTCATGGGTAACTTCTCATTCTTCAAATGTCAACAGCAATCAAGGAAACATCTTAGCAGACATCCATCACCTACAACCAACTACTGCAAGTGGTCTCCTAAGAGCTTCATCCACAAGCCATGTTTTCCTCAGGAAAGAAATGCCATTATAGATTGTTTGTCACAAAAGGCAACATAAGTATCTCACTATTTGTTTTTTTTGAGAAATATGAAGATACTCTGTCATATCATGGTGCCAAAGTCTCAAACACAAATTTCCTCTCATCTCTTCAAACCTAGGGCTACCAGGCAAAATTAGAAAGCTGCCATTGTACCACTGCATTGACAGAGACAACTCTGACTAACAAAGCAACAATAACACTGTGCATTTGGCTGGTTAAATGTTCCCCAGCTCAAGCCAGGCCAAAGTTCTCCACAACATAAATGTTGGATTCTGTCTTGCAAAAAGAGATTCTTCCCTACGAAGGGAAGAAATCTTGTTAGAAAGTAAAAAAACTATTAGCAAGGATGTTTTACTCCTCAAATGTCAGGAAAAAATCAGTTTGGACTTCCTAGCAAGGACCGGATCCTCTGAAGAAGCTGAACTCATCATCTTCAGTGTGCCCCATAGTGTAAAAAATTACTACCATCAACAGTGCTGGTAATGGAAATGCCACCTGTCTGTTCTGTCTTCTCAGTGGCAGTCAGGTTTCTACAGTCACTGAAACATACTTACCCAGCAGTCAAGGAGCCTCCTTGGATATATTGATTAAACATATGCTGTACAAACCTCACGGAGGTCCCTGTGCTGCTTCTCTGGATAGCCATTATAGTTGTCAGCAAACCAGCTAAAAACCCCAGGGAACTCAAACCTCTCAACATGGTCCTTCATCTCCAGTGTTCCATGGGGATGAGGTGGGATTGATATCTCTTCTCAGGACTTTTCTGCTGAAACTTTCATTTGAATCTGTTTATTAACACACCTTATTTTTATCTTCCAAATCTTTATCTATCCAGAACATATTCTAAGCCATGAACATTTCAGGGGGCTTTGATACTAGCATGACAGTACAAAGTCTTCAGTCTTTTTGCTCGTACTTTTGGTCCTGTCTTTACAGCTCTAAAAGCCAAGTCATCCCTTCTCAGAATTCCAGAATGAATTACATTAGTGTAAACATTATATGATATTGACTGTTATGTATTGCCCTTGAAACACTGAAACTGGTTCTACTGGAGCACAAATTTTATCCTCTCCTAGCTTCAAAGCATTCATGCTATAATCATCAGTTGGAAAGCCATAAACACAACCTGTTAAAAACTATTTCCCTGACTTGATAGCAAGCTCAGACACCAAGTTTGATATGTGAGTCATTATGGAGGCTGAGGAGACTCATGCTCCCTGTACCCATCTGGAGGTGGTATGTTCTTTGCAAATAGCCACCAGTAAACCTTACTCACACCTCCCCAGGTGGAGCATGATTAGCAGGAACGCAGTACTATCAGTTACCTTATTTCGTGTTGTGTGGTCTCTGAAATTTAAAGTATTTCTCCATTGAATAAACCTGTCTTCTTTCCCAGAGACTTCCTTACCTGGGATCCTGAATTCATGATGGGCATAAGCTGTGCCTTTCAGTTTTGTGCCTGTAGGGGCTTTAAGGACACACACAGGCTAGCAGCAGCTCGAGCAATGTGTTCATTTAAAATGTTGGTGCTCTGGTACACATTGAATATAGTTAAAATGAGATATATGCAGGCAACAATATCCTGAGGAGCTTTTCAGATGTGCTTTGGAGATCCCTCAGTCTTTATCCTACCGAATCTTTACTTTGGCTTCTAGAACCCACTTTTCTGTTTCTTGACCTCTTCTGCTCTATTAGCATCTCTATTACCTTTTAAATATGGTGATATCAAAGGAAAAAAAAAATAAATAAATGGCCCAAGCAGTTTCATTGCACTCATCCCCATTGAGTGTCTTTACACAGACACATCCTGTGTCAGATATTTCTCTTCCTGCTCTTAACCTGCAGGTTCCCTTCTACATCACTCTTAATATGCCCCTGGACTTGTTTGTGATTTATACTTCAGGCCCCTTTTCTCCATGATGGAAATTGCACAGAGCATCATCTCTTGGCTGATCTCACTGTTTTTGTTGTTGCCCTTTCTCATTCAGTTACGTGCATGCTACTTGTGCCCCAAATGACAAGAGCAGGGTAGAATACTTGAAGTTCCTTTGCAGGTTAAACCACATGCAGGAGAAGAGATGGCTGCAAGTAAAACAAAGTACAGCCAAGACTGCCTTCTGCTAAGTGATGTTGCTTCTCCAAAAGCTCTTTCAAAGATATTAACAGATGAGGATTTGCTTTTGCACATTGTTCTGAGATTTGTAGAAATGAAATCCTGTCCATTTCAGATGGGCATTAGACGCTGGCTTTAATTCCAAGCACCTATCACCATGCCTCCATCCCTGTGAACTGATGCGACTACTACATTCTCAGGTGCCAAGTGCCTGTCCTTGTCCTAAAACTGGCATACCCACATCACTTTCAAGGTCGAAGATTCTCAGAAAATCCAGCAATAGCTCTCTCAGCTTTATAATCAGGAATGGCCACACTTGCACTTCCCAGTAACAGGTTCTCAGATATCTGTGCTCAGGTCCATATGGTGACTTTTTGACACAGGTGGAAAATGGTAGGATTTGGCTCCTCTCTGAAACCTTTGTGGATATCAGCAAATGTATTCAGCAACCCACACCTGGGAGTTGATTTCCCCCTCATATACTCATGCACAAAATACTGTATGCACAAGCATATCGGGAACCTCAGCCCACAGTGCTACAGTTTGTACAAATACCACCTGCCAGTGTTAATGGAAACTTTCTCTGGCTCCTTTTGAACCTTTACTGTAGGTAGTGATATAATTTGCTACATATTTGACCCCATCTTAAAACACAGGCCAATTACCTCAGGGAATAAGAGAGGAGTAAGTCAATCTCTACTTCACTTTCTTAGCAGTGCCAAAGATACTCGGAACCTTTGGTTTCTGATTTTCCAGCATGATTCCAGCTCCTCCAAGTTGGGCATCCTGTATCAACAGTGCATTATATAGTCATATCCTTTTATACAGACTTTTTTACTCTCTTACATTACTATTATATGCAGTTTCTGATGAAATACTAACAATATCAAAATGACAATTAAGGTATAATATTCCACAGTAACTTATAAGGTTTCTACAGGCGGTCGGTCACATATGCACCAACACTGTCAGTCAGGAAGGATGGAGAACCCTGAAAGGTGCTGAAAATTTTTGGGCTTCCTTCAGTTAGTTTGAAGGCGCTTTGTACCTTCTACCAGGAATGCAGCAACAAGCAGAATAAGAATCCTTCTATTGTTAGAAAAGATTATTTGCAAAACTACAAAGAGGAAGGGAGATGGGACAGAGAAACTCTTTGCTGGGAGGGAGATGTTTGTCCAGCAACACAAAATCAAAATCTATGCCTGGTCTGTAAGAAATGTCTCTATGGGCACCGCTTCTTTATTTGATATTCAAGCCCACTTGTGCCTGTATGTGATCTGAAAAGAAAACACAAGAGCAAATGTGAAAGAGAAGGATAAAAACAATGAAACCTGACACTACCAAACCAATGAGTTAACCCAAAAGACTATTATATGACTAGATGTACCTTGGGTTTTTAATTGTTCTCACTTGCCTATATCACCAAATAGGCTGTGCATCCAAACTACAGTTTTTATTTAGGTAATACAATGCCAGTTTGGTTACTGCAGTGTCCTTGGAGAGCAGGAGCACACTGCAGGAGTCCTCCATGGTGCCAGAAGTGAATTCTGACATTGGCAGAAGAAGAAATGCATAAGTTTCAGCTTTGCTAATGTAGTCACAGGAAGTAATGACAGACAGGTTTGGCATATGGGACATATGGTAGAGGTTAGGCCTGAAGGATTATGTTACTACTGAACTGAAGGACTCCCGATAAAGCTCGGTTTATTTAATTTCAGTTCTGCTTCTTACACCTAAGGATATTTGCAGCCCTGGGTATTTTTTAGAATTGCTCTCAGTATTGGAAATGGCCCCAGAAGTTACTGAAGGAATGTCAGGCAGAGTGTTTGCAGCAACTAGACTCTTCCAGGCATGACCAGGCTTCGCTGTGAGGTGGGTAAAGGTACAGCAAGCTAACCAGCTTTACCAACCCACTTTCCACAGCTGGTGGTGGGTGTTGCAGACTGTCCCAACCCATTGTCTTAATAACAACAATGTTATCACCCAGAACTATGTGTGAGGGAATGGGGGTATATAAATAGAAAGTGTTGCTTTAGCCTTGGGATATTATGGGTTTACAAATCAGACTGATGCACTAGAGCTGGCTGGTCCCTGTGCAGACATGGCCTGGATCTGAGTTGGGGAGCTAAATCAGCCCCTGTACTGAATTTGATAGTAGTGATACAAGAAACTTTTTAACAGTCTCAGTTCCTACACTGCCTGCATGCCAGGATGTCTAGCATTCAGGAGATACTGGGTGCAATTCACATGTGGTGGTAGTGGATACGGCTTACATCAAATTTGATGGGAGTTGTACCTGCTTCTGCCATGGCCAGCTTTGATCCTGGGCATCCCAGGGAATACGCCCAGCCTCTTGTGCATTTCTTTCAAACTCCCTTTTTCCCTCTTCTGCCATTTTGTTGCTCCTGTGTTAGCCAAGACCTAGTTTACTAGGGCTCTTGATTGAAGACTTATTACAGCTTATTTCTGTCTGCCTTTCTTTAAAGCCAGCTGAACATACCCAATGCTCTTCCTCTATGGTAAGACCAAAAATACAGACCACCCTCCCAGCTTCTGTGACACTCTTTCTA